GTCACTGAACGGTTGCCAACCGTTTCGGTTGACACCTCGGCAATGATTGAATTTAAAAATTTGACTCTAGCAGACGACACTTACGCCGTTCCTGGAAACATAGACATGCTCATTGGAGCATCGCTTTTCCCTCATCTTTTGTTAAACAATAAGGTCAGGGGCAACTCCTCGCATACCGCGCCTTACGCACTGGAAACCGTATTGGGCTACGTTATCGTTGGCTCCACCCCCATCATAGATTTTTTTCGGCAACCTCTTATTATGGTATGGCTGTCGAACCGCTCGAGTCGTTAGTCCGCAAATTTTGGGAGATGGAGGAGGTAAACGTCCCATCCATAGCTAGCTCAGATGACAGGTTATGCGAGAAAATTTACGTTCGCTAGACCGTTCGTGATCGCGACGGTTGATATAGCGTAGCGCTACCCTTTAAAGGAGATGTTTTATCTCTCGGCGATTCTCGTCAAATGGCGGAAAAACGTTTCTACAGCTTGGAGCGTAGGATGCTCGCTTCACCCCAGTTAAAGGAAGCTTACGACGGCGTCATTAACGAATATATAAGAGAAGGTTACATATCACTTGTGGCTTCGAAATTGGATAACTACGAAGACACACCGTCGTATTTCATACCACACCACGGGGTCATTAGGGAGGACAAACTTACATCTAAGTTACGTGTAGTGCTCGACGCTAGAGCTAAAACTAGCACTCACCTGTCGCTTAACGATATCCTCTATAGTGGGCAAAATTTACAGGGCAGTTTATTTAATATAATAGCCAATTTTCGTTTGTTTAGTATAGCACTATCCGCCGATATTCGCCAAATGTTTCTTTGCATAGGGGTCCGTGAATGCGACCGTAGATTCCAACGCATTTTATATCGTTTCAACCCAAAGGAACCTCTAATGGTGTTTGAATTTAACCGCGTTTGTTTTGGTTTAAAGTCGAGCCCATTTCATGCGTTACGCACGGTGAAACAGCTCGCCCACGATGAAGGTCCCTCTTACCCTAAAGCTAAGAGGGCAATTGAGAGCGGTTTATATATGGATGATTTTGTATACTCGGTCGATAGCGTGGAGGAGGCCACCCTAACCACCGCTGAGGTTATAAAGCTCATGAAATCGGGTCAATTCGATCTTGTGAAGTGGACTAGTAATTCGCGTCCGGTTTTAGATACAATCCCACTATCACACCGTCTTTCGGCGATAAAGGAATTCGACGATTCTGATACACACAAGGTGCTCGGTCAATGTTGGTCACCAGAGTCCGACGTGTTTAGCCTTAAGGTAAATCCGCCCGTAGAGAAATGCACAAAGCGCACAATGCTGTCATGCGTTGCTAGATTATGGGATGTCATGGGTTTCGTAGCTCCAGTGGTATTATACGCTAAGCTTTTGATTAAACAACTTTGGTTATTTGAATGCGATTGGGATGATTCGCCGCCTGACAGCATTGTTCGTTTGTGGCAGCGCTTTAGAGAGGAACTTCCTTTACTAAGAGAAATTAAAATACCGCGTCATATAAACGTCGATAGAAATAGCGTCATAACGGTCGTTGGGTTTGCAGACGCCAGCGAGAAGGCTTACGGGGGCGTTGTATATTTCCACGTTCAGAATAATGGTAGAAATTCGATTAGCCTCATTAGTTCTAAGTCGAGAGTCTCCCCCCGTAAGGTTGTCTCTCTGGCGCGCTTAGAGCTTTGCGCAATATTAGTACTCACCAAGCTTATTACCGCAGTTATCAGCGCATGTAGGGATAGAGTTCACTTAGAAAGGATATTTGCCTTTTCCGACTCCACCGTCGCCTTATGCTGGGTTCATTCTTCACCCCACCGTTGGGATACGTTTGTCGCGAACCGAGTGGCCAAGATCCAAGACGAGTTAGAAACGCGGAACTTTTATCACGTGTCCGGTACGGAAAACCCTGCCGATTGTCTATCTCGTGGACTCACCCCGATGCAAATAATGGGCCACCCGCTTTGGTTCCACGGACCTTCTTGGGTTCACTTGGATCCCTCGCAATGGCCGATAACCGATTTCGAACCTTCGTCAGTATCACAACCGCCGGAAGAGAAGAGACACGCTCTAGTGGCGAACGTTTCGAGCGAGGTTTCTCTAATCATTGCTTTGGCGAACCGCTTGTCCTCTTGGTCGAAATTATTGCGTAGCGTAATTTACGTTTGTCGATTCGCGAAGCTTTTACCGCGACGTTCGTATGTCTTAGCGTCCGATTACAACTATGCCGAGTCGCTAGTATTACGTGAACTTCAACGTGCACACTTCTCTGAAGAAATTACAAGATTACAATCGAATAGAGCTTGTAGTCGCGCCTTTCAACGCCTTAAACCATTTTTACAGGATGGGATTGTAAGGGTAGGTGGACGCTTGTCCAACTCGCGGTTGAGTTTCGACCAACGGCACCCTATAGTTTTACCGCGTAAAGACCATATCATGAACATATTAGTCGATTACCATCATAAATTGAACTCGCACGCTGGCCCCGACTTGTTGATGTCGATTTTGCGTCAGAATTATTGGATTCTTTCTGCACGTAGTTTAATACGCAATCGGGTGCACAGATGTATAGCTTGCTTTCGGGCACGCCCCAAGCCGTCATTTCTGGAAATGGCGGAACTTAGATCTTGTAGAGTAATACAATCAGTAAAGTCCTTTACGCACACCGGGTCTGATTTCGCTGGTCCGTTTAAGGTCACGCTCACTCGCGGGCGTGGTATAAGATCCACAAAGGCTTACGTCTGCATTTTCGTAAGTCTAACTACTCGAACGGTGCATATAGAACTCGTTGGTGATCTAAGCACAGCAGGCTTTATGGGTGCATTTAAAAGATTTCTATCCCGTAGAGGCCCTGTAAGTAAATTATATTCGGATAACGGTAGGAACTACGTCGATGCAAAACGTATTCTATCGGAACTACATGAGCTCTTAGCTAGCAAGTATTATAATTCGGAATTCGCTCACATTCTAGCCGAGAACCGAATTGAGTGGTCTCTGAACGTCCCAGCCGCGAGTCATTTTGGAGGCAATTGGGAGACTAATATTAAGAGTCTAAAGAGTCACTTATACCGAGTAATAGGAGATCAAATTTTATCCTTTGAAGAGCTAAGTACGGTGCTCGCTCAAATTGAATGCGTAATGAATAGCCGCCCACTTCGTCGTACGTTGTCTAGTGACCCCTCGGAACCGCTGGCTCTAACTCCAGCACATTTTTTGAATTTAACGCCTTTAAAGTATTTGCCCGCCGCAGGTATGGATGAGAACAGACTTAGCATTTCCGCACGCCACAACGGAAACGATGGAGGATGGAATACTTGCATACTTTGCAGTCTCGGCAAAAATGGAACACAGCGACTGAGCCTTTAGCTGTAGGAACTGTTGTTGTGCTCACCAAAGAGAATACGCCGCCTCTCCACTGGCCGTTAGGAATTGTCGAAGAGGTCTTTCCCGGTTCCGACGGAGTAATTAGGATAGCTCGCGTTAAGACCACGGTTGGGTCTTACCTGCGTCCTGTTGTCCGTTTGTGCCAACTGCCTCTTCCATAATTTAAATTAGCTTTCTAGATTAGAAATTGTAGTTGAATTTAGGTAATCTTAGCGTTAGTTAGTTATTTTGTTAGTTTGATCTAAGCGCTAGTTGTTTTAGTTATATTTTGAAGCAGATCCTTCAAGGGCGGGGGAGATGGTTGCGCGGAAAACCATTCGTATTTATTTTATTTGACGGTAGGCTGCCAAATCGGTTATCCCTTTTCAAAACGATATCATTCATACCCTCCTATCGACACATCGGGGTGGTGGGGTGGGAGGGGAAAGAAGATGATTCTAGAACATCACGTAATCATCGGAACCGAGGATATATAAGGCACGCGCGACCGACGCGCAGCCTCTTCCCGCCGCGCTCGTCATTGGAACTAGTAGAAACCGCTTTAGCCTGGAAGCAGTCGAGCTCCAGGAAACCCGCCTCATCTCGTGTGGGATATAGTCGCGCACCGCCCCTCTCCGGAGTGTTCCAGAAGAAGTTCCAGAAGTCGCAGTTATAGTGCTCGACCGCATAGAAGAAACATCCCGGTGAGTCAATATCCAATATTATAGCCTGCTTGATATAATTGTTTTAACCCGCTCCAATTTTGTGTTTTCCTAATCAAGCAGGATTCCTTTCATCGATTTGGCAAATAATAGTTCGTTTTTAGGGAAGAGCGAGTGCATTGTACCGCATATATAAGTGTAGAAACATTTAGTAGATACAGTCCACTTAGATTAATATCTCGCGTAATAGGTTTAAGGTTCGACCGGGGAACTAGACTTCGGCAGCCTTAAACACGTAGCTCCACCATATATATATATATATATACACTATATATATATATATATATATATATATATATATATATATATATATATATATATATATATATATAGACATCTACATCTATCCTCGATTACATATCAAAATGCAGATGCGTTGTCATCCATGCAGCTAAGCTACTACAGTGGAGAGAGGTGGTCTCCGTGAGCACATGCCTATATAACGTATGGTTCTGCTGCAGTTATATACTAATATAACTGCAGCAGAACCATACTCCACTTCCTGATAACAATTTTCACCACGTATGAAAATTGTTATCAGGAAAATGCTACTGCTTATTTTCTATTTAATTTATCTCTGTTGCCACCCAAGGGTCGATACGAGTATAACCTTATATGCCACCACTGCAACCCACCAGCATAGAACACCTGTGTAAAATAACAGCTTATGCTACTGTACAGCTTATGCTAAGTTACAGGAGTGAGTTACGAGAACCGGATACCGTTTTTATTTACTGGCAACGAGGCATTTAATTTTATCTCTCAGAGTTAGAAACACTGCATTATGACTGCAGGTAAGTGATGTAGATAACTACGCTACAGCATCCACTTAACTTCATTGGGGCTATATGCTCGTTTGTAGAAAAAATCAAAGTTAAATCTAGTGTTACAAAGCCATAGTTACCAGGTAAGTCCTCTGGAATCTCTTGGAGATTTTCTGCTTCAATCTCTTCTAACGGTTCTTGTATCGCCTCTTGAATTTCCTGGTCTTCGTAGAGATACTCATTCGGTATCATTACAGGTGACACCTGTAGTACAGGAAATATTTATGGTATATTTTTCGCCTAAATACAGCCCAGTATCAAAAATTAAGTATATTTTATATGTGGTAGATCCACGCTGCAGCTATATTATGGTTGTTACTCGAATGGCTCGGCTCGGCCGGGTAAGAACCAGGCTCTCACAGAATATCAGCGTAAAATAGCAGCTTCATACTGCTGTGCTTCGTAGTTCGTGTCCGGAGACCCTTTTTTACTGGAAACGAGGCATTTTATTTTAGCCCAAGTTAAGCAAACAATCGACTACTTGGCGACGTCAGACGTGGAATTACTGGGTCACTCGCCCTATAGCCCCGTACTCGCACTTGGTGATTTTTATTTATTTCCGAAAATAAGAGAAAAACTTCGAGGAAAACGTTTTATGGACGTCGAGGAAGCAGTGACTGCGTTTCAAAATGCCGTCGAAAAAACCACTATGGACGAGTGGTCAAAGTGCTCAGATGCAGCGATGTATTGATGTAAATGGACACTATTTTGAAAAGATATAATAATACTAAAAACTTTTTTATTTTTTTATTTTCTTAGAACTTTCAGTATCACCCTCGTACCTACATTGTAATGTTGTTTTAATGTCAAAAAATTATATAATTTGGGTTTAATAGGTATCGCTGTGATGGTTTTTAATTCATTAATATCTTTTATATTTCTACCGTAAAAATCTAAAAAATTATAACGAGAAAGAAAGTCTAAAGTCAGTAAACTTATTTACGTAGAGCTAGGCGACCACTATGCTCGATTGGGGTAGAGCCACGCTCTCATAAAATACCAACGTTAAACAGCTGAAAGTGTGAAAATATGCTGCTATGTTGCTTATGGCGATTGTAGAGAACCGTGAATCGTTTTTATGGCACGTGGGATTTTATCTAAGTTCTCAGCGGCGACAACGCATCTGTATTTTGATTCTAAATCGATTATAGATGTAGATGTGTATGAGCCATACAATGATCTTATAAGATCATTGGAGCCGTAGCATCCATTTACCATCAGGTAGAATATGGACACTTATTCGTCCTGTCTATAAAAAGAAAAACTTGCCGTTGAAAAAGATATATTCCGCGGGGGAGTTCCAGATGCACGTTTTTCCATAAAAGTATCATCATATCTTGAAGTGAGCTTTTCATTGTATGTGTCCAGCTGCTTCCTTTGATTAATACCTTGCCACTTGACTTCAACGTCGTGTGAAGCACTTCTGGAAACTAATTGTGGCGAAATTTATTATCATGTATATTATATAGACTTAATCCATGACATTGTTTTCTGCGATTTTAAAATGCCCTTAAAATGAATATGTGTAACCGAACATATTTAACACATTGTTGTTTATATATTAACATACATTATTTGTATTAAGTATGTATGGTAACTGCACCTGCCACTATATTTTAACATACCATCCGGTAGTGCCGTAAAGTATTAAGTTCACCTTTTGCTATCTTCTTTAAAGAGTAGAAAAATATTAGTTTAAATATATTTAAATGATTGTGAACTGTTTTGTTCATTGTAGAATCAAACATGTCAGCTTGCAACCTGTACATAATACGTATTTTATCTTCGATCAATTATACAACATGTAACATAATTAACGCACTTTGAGAAAGTAGTTTGTTCAAAATCGTTTACTGAATCGATTCCTATCATTTTTAATATAGGTAATTTTTTATCCCAAAAACACGGAGCAAATACAACCAAAAATAATTAAAACTACGTAAATTACAGTCACACTAAATCTACAGTACAGTCAAAACAAACTGAAATGGACCATAACTTAAGGCAATAAGAACTTTAAGAGTGCAGTTTTATTTGTATTATTACTAATTCTGTCATTCAATAAAAATAAAGAAAAATGCCACAACTTTATTTCAAGCACGTTAAAGTCTTCGCGTTCATGGATTTGTACTGTGACCACAACATTCTTCCGGAATTAGTGTAACCAATTTGATAAATAATCAGTGCATAAAAATGTTTAACTAAAAATTCAGTGTATATATTATGATTATACCATAATATACTAATTGGGGTGTCTGAGGGTGTGATTTAATTACGTTACATATTGTGTACACTGATCGAAGTATTTTATACATAGTTTTCAGTAAGAATTAAAATATATCGCGACATGACCGTTTATATCGTTGAATACTCTATTATTATTATTAGTAAATTATTATTATAAATGTCCATATCAATATTATATTAATATAATATCATTTAAATATAAATTATCTTACAAGGGGTTGAGTAAGGTACGTGAGTGTAATATGGTCATCTTAAACTTTGTCCCCCTGTAAAACAAAAACTAGGAGACAGACAGAGACAAAAACAAAAAGTCGTATACTATAACTAATATTTTTAGCAAAATAGAAAACAAAATTTGGCAATAATTAGGATTAGGAACACTTTAAAAAATCAATTAAAAAAAACATTTAATGTCTATATTAACTATACTGTCATCTTTCAAAATGGCGTCAATAAAGCAGCGCCCTTTTGATCTCTTTTATTATTTGATTGATTGATAATTAATAGCTATTGTATCACAGAGCTGCCTTTGCCAACAAGTATTTAGTTTTTAAATTATAAGAATGTGACAATATTACTCTCGCGTACGCTATATTTACAGTCAATCTATAATTTATATCTCATCATCGCTACCAGTGCAAGTTAGGTGCAAACTCCAACATTAACTTTATATTATTAAATTTTCAAGAGTAAAGCTACACACAAAAAATGTCGACAGTACTCCGGTAACAAACACCATATGTACGTAGGCTTGATTTGTCGTCTATGTGCTGCTTCGCGTAGGGTGATGTGCTGCAAACGGAACGTGGTTGGTGTGACGTCTTCCACACGTTTATTGATCCATTCATCAGTCCAATGAAAATCCACAATTAGACACAGGCATTGTCTTCTTTTAAGAATAGAGTGTGAACGTAAACGTTCAAAAGACAAACGAACCGACAGTTCACCTGATGATAAGTGGCCTTTACAATCACACACACATACAAAATCAGGACACTTGGAGCCTATTCCAAACAAAGGTACTCGTAGCTACAGATGCGTTTTCACCTCTGAGAAATAAGATGGAATTCATAACTATTCGTAATTATACTGCTTTGATATTTTATTTTCCTCGGGACTCTCTATTTCTTTTCGCTACATGCCGGCAAGTTTCAATTTAGCTAATACTCACCCTTTCTTGACTCCATTTGGACGACTCCAACTTCAGGATTAGTTGTATGTCGTAGAGTGGCCGGATCTTGATTCATCTTCTTAGTACCAGTTGATTTTTCCAAGGGGCTTTTATTTCTTTCATTGTCTTTTACAATTTCTGTGGTCTTTATAGAGTCATCTTGCGGCCCAAGTTTGGCAGCATGCGCCGCGAACAATCCATTAACGTCATCTTCTTTAACTTGAATATCCTTTATGTATATTAAAATATATTAAAGTGAACCGAAAGAATCACGACCCGTTAATTGATTATATAAACCGTAAGAATGATGACACGTTTATGAAATTCCGATTATTGATGATATATGTGAAGTCAATCATACGTGGTAGAGCCACGCTGCAGCTATATTATGGTTGCAGCACGAATGTGTCGGCTCGACCGGGGTAGGACCACGCTTTCACAGATCAACAGCGTAAAATCAGCCTAATGCAGCTGTGTTGTCAAGAAACGCTTTTAAAGTAAAACTGTTAACTATTTTCAAACCTATTCCCGTTTTTTTCTCCAGACAGTCATTTTCATGGTCCTCTCCCGTTTTAGGAAGGATTTGCCTTAATTATCACGCTTGACAGGCGAAAAACGATCTGGCTTTATCATACTGGCGATTTGCAAGCGAGTTCAAAGTGAGGCAGTGAGCCTGCCGCGAGTTTGCAGCGAGAAGACACCGCTCCACAGAAAAAATAATAGACCGTACTAATAGCGCCGTTGACGCCATTTTGTAAGTTCCCGTTCAACAGCCCGCCCCAGTATTAATATGTAAATCGAGATTTACCGTAATGCAAGAGTAAAAATACGATGTTTCTAGATAAAAAAATTACGGTGGATTAAATAAAAGTGTACCGTGTAAATTACCATGTAACTTTTCGAAGAAAAAAACAATACTATGAACCTAATCAAGTCCAAATATATTTGATTTTAATTAATTACTATAAAAATAAAAAAGCAAGACACATATTGGTAGATACATTCTTCTATATTTACTTAAAACTAATTTTGACTCGACATCCCTGTCTGTGTGACTCTTTCGATAAAAACCGACTCAAACTGTGACCATTTTCCCCTGTCACCAGCCACTCTTGTCCATGTGCCACCTACAACGGCCTTTATTTCATCGACATATCTTATGGATGGCCTGGCCTCCCTCGTTTCCTTGTCTTGTTTATTTTGAATCAGAACATTATTGTTTTTGACCATTTTTTTGCCCCTGATTGTATACCCTGTCCATTTTCATTTCAGTATTCTTATGGTTACTGTAATGTCCTTTATTCCGTTGTTTCTCTATGGTTGTAGTTCTTATTTTTTCTGTCTGTCTTTTGCAACATTCTCCTTTCCATACAAAGAAAAAAATAAAGAAAGAAAGAAAGAAAGAAAGAAAGAACCATTTACTTGATAATCACACTTTACACACAATTTTTGAAATTTAAATATAAATTACAATGGACAAAGAATATGCATGCGCAGGTGTAAGACTGCTTACGCATTAAAATTTATTTAAAAAGCAGAACATGCATGATGTTAATTAATAATGAAAAAAAAAAATTAAAAAAAGAATTTAAAGATAAAATGTGACATCAAATAGGTCTCCAACTCAGCATAACGCTGCAGAGGCAGCGCTGGTTTTCAGTTGGAACCTTGTGACTTCACTGACGAGTCGGTGTGTGAACCCCGAAATACGCGTAACTACAACTTATAGACTAATAGTAATTAGGCAGTGGGTTAAAGAGTAGTGCTAACGACACACAGTTAATACAGACATACTGTATTAATATCAATATAAATGGTGTGTAGTACATACACTATACCTATACTTAAATATAACATATTTGGGTCTATGGGGAAGACAAAGCAAAGTAGCAATAAAATTTATGATTTTAGTACATATATAATTTATATTCTCTATTCAAAGGGACACGCCATGTTACAAAACTTCCTAGATTTTTTTTTAGAAAATAAAAAGTAAGATTAAAAATAAATAAATACTTAATAAATGATCATTCATCACATATGTAACAGAAATGAACAATAATCAATAATATTTGAACATGATGTAAAACAGTATAAATATTATTACTATTTTGCGTTCTTAACGTAATTGTATTACATATTTAGAACTTGTGCTAAGTAATAGAACTTTAGTTTGTTTTTAAAACTATTCAGTGATTTTAGGGAATGAATAGGTGGTGGTAGATCTTTCCAACAGTGGGTTGCTGCAAATTTGAAACTACCTCGAAACGCAGCTGTGCGGTATCGAGTTGTTACAAGGGAATGAACAGAAACTCTTGTATTATATTTATTTTGATCTCGGGCCCACTTCAGCTTTTGAAATAGGTATACTGGTCGCTGTTTTGTTATTGTTGAGAATAGTATAGTAGCAAGGTGTAATTTTCTCCGGGCACTCATTTTTAACAGATTAGCGTTGTTCAAATAAGGCGTTACATGACTTCGAGGCGGGACAGTGAAACAAAACCGAGTACACGCATTTTACACCCGCTGTATGAGCTTCTTTGACCTTCTCAAAAGTCGTGGTCCATAGGCTGGATCTGCATAATTTAACTTAGACAGTATTAATGACTCACAAAATCTTATCCGCATATCTTCACAGAGGTATTGCCGAACTTTATACAACAACTTCAAACGGTAAAAGCAACTGCGCAATCCCTCAAGTACATGACTTTCAAATCGCCAACTAGAATCAAATAATACACCTAAATTTCTTGCCTCAGAGACTTGCTGTATAGGTTCATTATCAATAAGAACTAAGGGCTGAAGCATTGATATATTTTTAATAATTTTATTTGTTCCTAGAATTAGAAAAATTGATTTTTGTGGATTTAGCACAAGAGAATTTTGCTTGGACCATTACGAGATACGTTTGAGATCTTCATTCAATAATTTGACAGCAGTTTCACAATCTTGAGGGAAAAAAGATTTGTAAATTTGCAAGTCATCTGCATATAAGTGATACTCACAATTTTTGATACAGCTACTGATGTCTGAACTATATAAAATAAATAAAATAGGACCCATTATCCTGAGCTGTTAGTATATTATCAACAACATCAATAATCGTTGTTGTGGTGCTATGGTGTTTACGAAAACCTGACTGTGCTAAAGGTAAAATTTTGTGTACCTCTATAGTTCATAAAAGATAGCTTGATCTCTGCGACAACTGTCAGTAAAATCACTCCTATGAAGTCACGAATTTCTTAGTAGTACAGACAAGTACCTGTCAATGTCATACTTTATGGGCATGCCGAAATAATTAGTGCAGACAGCCGTCGCAGAAATCAAGCTATCTTTTATGAACCATAAGTATTCGGTTAACTGAACGCAGACTACTTTTTCTAATACCTTAGATGAACAAGGCAAGATGCTTATGGGGCGTAGATCTTTTAAACAGGATGCCTGTTTTTTCCTAGGGATAGGCTTTACCACAGCTATTTTCCATTGATCAGGGAAGGTAGAGGTGGTAGTAGAACTTTCAATATATGTGGCAGTGTCATAAGTAACATATCAAGTGTTATCTGATCCATACCTTGGGCGTTAGATTTAAAACTCTGAATTATTTTAGCTATTTGGTCCTCAATTGTTATATATAAATGGAAAATACCTGGCCCATATTTGTTAAACTCATAGAAAGTAAGTTTTGAAAGGTCTATATTATCATCACCAGGAATATTGAAAAAAATGTTTATTTATTATATCAGGATCATTATAATGATCTGGCAAATTTATCTCAACCTGTTCCTTAGTAATAATATTACCTTTTATACTTTTCCATAGAGCTTTAGGGTTACTTACGTTTTTATTAATATGCGTTTCAAAATATGCTCTTTTTTCAAAATGAATAGCATAAGTCACAAGGTTTTTTTAGATCTTTATAGGAATTATAATATTTATCTAGTTTAGTTTTCTTATACCGCATGAAATTGTGGTTTCGATGCCTCATCATGATTTTAACTGTATCAGTAATCCATGGGTGATTTTGTTTTTTTAATCGCACTAATTTATTTGGGGCACGAAGGTCAAAAAGTGTTATTATATATGAATTAAATTTTACTACCATATCATTAACATTGTTGAGATATAAAATACTATCCCAATCAATACTATTTAAATCTGCATTAAAATAGTCTACCAAAATCTGCTTAAGTGGACGTATGTAAGCCTTACGTGTAATAAACTTATCTTTTTCTATTAGAAATTGAAGGGATATCACTGCTTGTTGCCCTAATTGTGGTATATGTGAAACTGTTGTGTTAGAAACACTAATGTCAGAGTATACCAAATCAATGAGTGTTTCGCTGTGATATGTATAATGTGTAGGTTCAGATATAACTTGAGATAGACGAGTATAATTGAGAAAACTAAGAAGAAGTTTAGTTTTGGAGTCATCTTTTTTTAGCAAATTTATATTGAAATCACCTACAAGAATCATTTCATCAGCTCTTGTAAATGAAACAATAGATGAACTGAGGGCATCTAGAAAAATATTTACATCGAGTCAAGGCGGACAATAAGCTGTGCCAATCATAATTTTCTGCGTGTTTATCGTGGAAGAGAGCCATATTTGCTCAACATCAGTGGAAGGAGTATGCGGGCAGGTACGCACTGCGATCCCCGAGCGTATGTAAAAGCCAACGTCACCTCCACGGCCGCCGCCCGGCAGCCGGCCGCGGCTCGTGCCGCAGCCGGTATCCGGGCACAACGGGCGCGCGGCCCTCCTCACCCGCCTTCAACCATGTTTCATTTATTGCCATAATGTCAACCTGGGAATCCTCTAAAGCAGCTATAAATTCGCCATGGCGTGTACCCAGTGACCCAGCATTAAACAAACCAATTTTGAGCAATTTGGTTTTCGATTTTTGATGAGTTATATTATATAAATAATTTTTAATTTCTTATTTCTGTATTTTCCCCCTAGATATAATTCATAATATATAAGGTAATGTAATATAATATAATATATTAATAACATAATATTTTAAGAGATGTTTAGAAGTGCAAATTTCACTAATAATAATTGGTAACTTGTATGAATACGTATTAGTCTGCGGTAGCAGTATAAATATTTCGCGACTATGAATATTTTTAAGACTATTTAATTTATTTTTTACAAAACTAACAAACGAACATTTTTTTAGCTTATGCATACTATACATAAAAACTAATTTACCTATGGACCGATGATAAAATAAAATATAAATTCTATAGTGAACACAAGTGTCATAACAAATCAAAAGGTTTACACACCATTTAAAAGTTACGTACGGAAGAACAATACTAAAAAAAGTATAAATCTTACAACAAAAGGTACATTCATGATTTTTTATATACATGTGTGTACAAATATAAAAAAAGAGTAATGTTATAAAATTAATCTGCGATTCTTTTTGGCGAGCATAGATTCTACCATGTCTGGTCCATGTATATCTCCACCGTAGCTGCCTTGTTGCCTCTCGTACTCGGTAAAATAGTTGGCGATTAGCTCTTGAGAGACGCTCATTAATATAGAAGTGACAAGGTAGACCTGGCAGCGGTGGTAGCATTCCTCCGCACGCGTGCGCTTCGCAATAATTCGTCGAGCAGCTGGCGGCGCGCTAGACGCACCACCACTCGACGCCCATGGCTCCGATCTCCATCCGCATTGTCACCCTGCTTCCTTGTTCCTACACGATCCGCGAAAACAATGTCCCTCTCATCCAGCGATCCTCCCAGCTTTGCAGCCACCCACACGACCGTATGAGTGATGTTTTCTGTCCTCTCTTCCGGAATATTTGTGATTTCAAGGTCGGCTGCAAGCAACTCCTGCTCCCGATTATTAAGCTCACGCGTAAGTCGGGACACGGTTTGTTCGAGCTCATTTATTTCGACTGACTTGTTACTATTGCTTTGAATCTTCTGTTCTAGAATACTAATCCTGCTCTCCATTTCATTCATTCTCTTATTACTCATCACTAAAGATTCCCGTAGTTCAACCATATCCCTCCGAAAGTCTTTTAGCTCCTCCCTGACCCTTCATAATTTCTCCCTGAAAAGTCGAATTTCTGGAATCAGTTCCCGGTGAAAAGACTCAGGGGAGCTAGTTGCAGTTTTTTCTGAGTCACTGCTTGTTCCGGAGATTGCAGGATTTAAAATTTCACTGTCGGTAACCATGCCCCTAAATGGAGTAGAAGAGTTGTTTCCCTTTGGCACAGTCTTTTTAAACTCTGGACATTGCCAGCGTTCATGGATCTTAGAGCGGTCAGAGACTCCAACACAAGCTCGATGATATAGTACATGGACAATGCATTTAACGGCCTCTGCCGTAGAAAGGAATTTACCACAAGCTCCACATTTAACCATATTAAAGAAATACAGTTCAAGCTGTTTATGTATCTTATATACTCCACTCACCCACTAATGGCACTGGTATATACTATTGGTATGTATCAAGTACGGAGGTGTGTGCAGCAAAAAATATGTAGGTAAGTCAAATAATTAAGTTGTACGAGTGAACGTAACTAGCAAATAACAAACAAAACCAATTGTGTTCATTCACTTGTTTTTATGTTCACTAGTTTATTAACTGCACCAATTTACTGCAAAACACTCACTGATATGTAGCGTTATGTTAAGTATCAAATAAATAAACTTTAAGCTTAAAATACTGCGTTAGCAATTTTATTCACTAAATTATAAGCTGATCACTGCACCGACGCGTCCGCGACGTCACTCTATATATAATACATAAATATCATTAAAATAAAATAAATACAAAAATATACACAAATAAATAAAAGCCCAACCAGATGGAAGCCCTGGGCAGGGGAGACCAAACGGCCGAGGGTTAGGGGGAAAGGGAGAGAAACCGGCGGACGATGCGGGCAGTATCGAGGAGCACCGCCTTCTGCATTAGAGCCCGGAGCGGTCACGAAGTCCCAGTCACCTCAGATGACCAGAGAGGCTTAATGGGATTAGCCCATTCGCAGAGACGACTACAGGAATAATTTCGGTCGGCAGACCACCCCACATGTCAGTCACCTTGTGAGCCAGGTCCAGATATTTTGATTGCTTATCTGTTTCGGCTCTCACGAGGTTCTCGTCATACGGAATGGTAATATCGACCAAAAATATCCTTGACTGTGCCCGATCCATCAGCACAATATCGGGCTTATTTGCAAGAATAGTCCTGTCTATGATGATGGCCCGGTCCCATTAGAGCCAGGCGCGGTCATTTTCAAGCACGGCTTCCGGCAAGTACTTGTAATACGGCAATTTCCGGTCCACGAGATCGTATTTCAGAGCGAGCTCCTGCTGTAGAATTCTGGCTACTAGGTTGTGCCTGTGCAAGTACTCAGAGTAAGAAAGCACCGAACATCCAGAGAGGACATGCCTAAATGACTCACCGAGATGGCGACAAGCTCGACTGATGCCGACGCTGCCATCCTTTAGGATGTATCTCCGTTAGTTGTTGGTCTTAATAACCTGATCCTGTATTGCACAGACAAAACCCTCGGTTTCCCCGAAGAGGTCACCGAAACGTATCCAGTTGAGGGAGGCGACTGTATCTACGAAGGGCTCATGTAGAGCCCTGTAGTACCTCCCGTGAAGCTCCTTCTCCTTCCATACGGTCTCCCGGTCGGATATGCTAAGCACTGCTGGGTCCTCTCATTGCTCGTTGGCTAAGGATAGAGTTATTATTATTATTATGTATTTCTTATCAATACCCTGGTTTTTAAGCGCTTGTTAGATCTCTTCATGTTCAAGTGAGTCAAAGGCAGCAGAGTAATTTAAAAAACCGCAGTAGAAGGTTATACTAAATTCCTTATCTTTTTCGAAAGGGAGTTCGGCTCGGTACGCCGTAGTGAACAGACGTGTCCTTGCAAGTTGCGCATCTAAGACCAGTGTTATAGACCCCTGCCTTACGAGTAATATATGCTCATATCGTCGTGTCTATGGTCGCTGGTCATCGTTGCCGCGGATTGTCCAACGACGTTGATCTCACGCTTATTGACTTTAACGTGACAGCTCGGTGTCTCGCACGATTGGTCCCGTGAGTTTATTGTGTTCGTGCACAGTGTTGAGCTGTTGAGTGACGTTTTAGCCTACATCATTATGTCCAAGACTCTGCGTACACCGTCCACTACACCGACTACGTTAATGCAATCCCAATCAGATCCAAATATCGCTGTAATGAGCAATACCGCTAAGGAGAACATTAATGTGAATCCACGTAATAAGCGCCCAAGGTGTGAAGCTTCCCCCATCAATGAATTACATAATTTTAAGGAAGAACTAAAACGAGAAATCGAAGCTATGTTCGCCTCTTGGAACAAAATTCAAACACCTAGATTATCTGAAAAAATAGAACAACAACAGTCTACCATTTTGAACAAATTGGTGTCCGAGGTATATGAGCTGAAAACACAAAACTCTGAATTGAAGAAATCCTTCCTTGAGGTAGAAAAATCGGTAAAATTCGTTAGTGCACAATATGATGATATGTCAAAAAAAGGTCCTCGACCTGGAAAAGAGAAATTCTTACCTAACGGAGATAGTCAAGGCACTTGAAAATACCATCAAAGATCTACAATTTTGTTCCCGTAGCTCCACTATAGAGATCAGAAATGTCCCCGTTAAAGACAATGAAACACTTGACGACCTAGTATCTGTCGTTACTGGAATTGGAAAAATAATCGACGAAAATATAACTCGAGCAGACCTCAGGGATTTGCGACGGGTGCCCGGAAAACAGGATGTGCCAAAACCAATTCTGGCTGAATTCACAAATGTCAACGTTAAGCGAAGCTTTATATCCAGCACGAGGAATTTCAACAAAAAACTTCCAAGAAAAAACACGACAAACTGAATACAGAATTGATAGGTATCTCGGGAACGCGTATGCCCATATATTTATCTGAGTTCCTGCCATTACAAATGAAGAAACTTCTCTTCCGTACACAAGAATTCGCAAAAGCCAACGGGTACAAATATTACTGGACTTCAAACGGAATCGTTTACCTTAGGAAGAAAGAGGGAGACAAGCAAATTATAGTAAAATCAGAACAAACCCTGATAGATCTGCAGAAAACCGTATGACTAGACCAAGTTTATTTTTGTAATTTTTCTGTTTTATACCTAAACTGTTGTTTAAATCATCATTTCTTTAATTTCTTCCTTGTGAGTTTCTCAGACAATGAAACTCGCACGCTCTCACAATCACAATTACATCCTCTTACACACACACTCGCACCCAATCATAAGCACCACAAAACACACTCATCATCATTATTACAGCCCTTCACAAGGCCACTGTTGAACATAGACCTCCCCCAAGTAATGCCACAAAGCACGGTCCTGAGCCACCTGCATCCATCGACTTCCTGCATGTCTTACCAGGTCGTCACTCCATTTAGTGGGGGGTCGCCCTACACTACGTCTACCGGTACGAGCCTGCCACTCGAGAACCTTTCTTCCCCATCGGTTATCGGGTCTTCGAGCTATATGGCCGGCCCATTGTCACTTCAGCTTACTATTCCGTTGGGCTATGTCGCTCACTCTGGTTTTACTGCGGATATCCTCATTTCTGAGTTTATCACGGAAAGAAACTCCGAGCATAGCCCTCTCCATAGCTCGCTGAGGACTTGAGCGTCCTCATACGGCCAGCAGTGAAGGACCACGTCTCTGATCCGTAAGTCATCACTGGCAACACGCACTGGTTGTACACTTTAGTTTTCAGAGATTGAGGTATACCTGACGAAAATATGTGTCGTAATTTCCCGAACTCTGCTCAGCCGAGTTGAATCCGTCGATTGACCTCTCGGTCGAAGTGGGACTTACCTAGTCGGACTATTTGTCCCAGGTAAACGTACTCGTCAACAACTTCGAGCATAGTGCTCCCAACAACTACCGGCATAGGTGTGACATGGACATTAAACATGATCTTTGTTTTGTCCATGTTCATCTTAAGACCTATCCGTTGGGAGACACCATTGAGGTCATTGAGCATAGTGCTAAGGTCCTCCAGCGATTCTGCCATAAGGACTATATCGACGGCAAATCGAATGTGAGTGATGTACTCGCCATTGATGTTAATACCGTATCATTTCCAGTTCAGTACCTTGAAAACGTCTTCCAACGTAGCGATGAAGAGTTTTGGGGATAACGTCACCCTGTCTTACACCTCTCTGCAGTTGGATAGGTTTCGAAATCTGGTTCTGTACTCGGATAGCCATCGTAGCCCTACTGTACAAACACTTCAGCACTTCGATATACCGACAGTCAACTTGGCACCGCTGAAGGTACTGTAGCACCGCCCAAATTTCGACGGAATCAAAGGCTTTGTCGTAGTCCACATACGCCAAGCAAAGTGGCAGATTGTACTCTTCGGTCTTCTGTACAATCTGCCGCAGGGTATGTATGTGGTCTATGGTACTGAATCCTTTTCGGAAACCGGCTTGTACGAGAGGCTGGAAGTCGTCGAGTCTGCGTGCGAGACGATTCGTAATGACTCTCGAAAACAGCACGTAGACGCGGCTCAGAAGGGAAATCGGTCTGTAGTTCTTCAAGAGAGCGTTGTCGCCTTTCTTAAAGAACAAGACCACCGCACTTCTGCTCCACGCCTCCGGAGTAGTGCCACCATGGAGGACGGAATTGAAGAGCTTCTGAAGGACTTCAAGTACCGGTGTTCCACCCGCTTTCAGAAGCTCCGCTGTAGTTCTATCCTCGCCTGGAGCCCTGCCGTTTTTAAGGTGCTGGAGAGCCATTCTAATCTCGCTCAGACTGACGTCCGGGATATCATCGGAATAGTGTCGGGTAAGACTTGCTCTTGGATCGTTACTCACATTTGCGTGTGGCTCCAACGATGATGTGTACAGCTGCCCATAGAACCTCTCAATCTCACTCAAAATCTCAGGTGTCCCGGAAACGATGCTGCCACACTCAGTCTTCAGCTTTGACAGTTGGCTCTTTGTGGCAGACAGATCTCTGGCAAATACTTTGGAGCCCTGGTTCCGGTCGATCGCTTCTTTAATATGAGCAGTATTAAACTTGCGTAAGTCTAACCGCACGCATTTGGAGATATGTCTGTTCAGTTGCCTGTATGCTGTCAAATCTTTTGACGATTACAGCCTCATCTCCCGTCTAACAGCCATGAGATTAAGAGTGTGATCGGAGAGTTTTTGTGTTTTTCTGTGTTTTGTGGGTTTAGCTCCGACCGCATGGACAGTTTCCACGAGCTTGTCATTCAAATCGTCCACTGCATTGCAATCTTCTAGGCACTGAAAGCGGTTACGTAACTCGAGCTGAAAAGTCTCGGGATTCTGGATTAGAGCACGAGGCGGACAGAGCGTTGACTTCATTAGACGAGACCTCTCTAACTTAACGTTTAGGTTCAGTGTGCCTCTAACCATTCGGTGATCGCTGCCGGTTTTCACCCTTGCGATCACTGAGACATGACTGAACAGTTGGCGTCTGGTCGTCATAATGAAGTCAATCTCATTTTTTGTCGAACCGTCGGGGCTCGACCAGGTCCACTTCCAGAAGAAAGAGTTCAGTTCAGTTCAAGAGTTCTTTTTCTCCATAAAGTCAGCCAGCTGCTGGCCCCTACGGTTCCGTTGCCCTACTCCAAATTTCCCTAACTTCAGCTCACCGCCTTCTCTTGTGCCTAGTTTTGCGTTGAAGTCTCCCATCAACACCGTGTAGTGGGGTTTGGAGGAATGCATGGCTCTAGAAATATCCTCATACATTTCCTCCACCTCCTCATGGGATGTGCCGAGGTTGGTGCGTAGACAAACACACTCATGATCCATTATTTATCAGAGAGATATTTTAAAACATATATAATGCATGTTAAAGAGCTCAAAAACTATATGTTTCCCATGCTTAGTAGTCCAAAACTTTTCATAAATGGCTAATGATATTCTAAGTAATGAAATTGAGGATATATGTATTTCACAAGCATATATATATATGTGAATATATGTGAACCGCTGAATTGCCAAAAGTACATAAATAACAATTCAAAATCTTTGTCTCTTCTGCATGTCAACAGTAGAAGCATAAATAAAAAATTTTACGAATTCCGTTTGCTACTATATGCTCTAAATATCAGCTGCGATATTTTGATTCTTTCTGAATACTGGTTGTCTAAAATATCTATCATACAGCAACTTGAGGGCTATTTATCTATAGCACGAAATCCATCCGAAACAAGAACGATGGGTTAGTGATCTACATTAAGAACTTCATTACACACACAGTATATCAACCTTACTTTAATGACGCAAGCTGTCTAATCTTCACAATAAATAAAAATGTAGCTATAGTAGGTTTATATAGATCACATTCCTTTCGAAACACCGATAATTTTATGGACAGCCTGAATACTACGTTAAATAATTTATCAGCAATAAATAATATCATTATAATAGGAGACATTAACATAGATATTAAAGTAAATATTTGCGACCCAAACTCAAATGATTATTTAAATCTTATGGCTTCTCATGGAATGTTACCAGCACATCAGATTCCGACCAGATTGGATAACTGTTTAGACCACGTAATTTTAAAAACAAGGCTTCGATCCACAACTCTTGTGATAGAAACATCATTAACTGACCATTTTCCAGTCCTCTTAATTTTAAATTTTAATCAAGTCCTGGTAAACGTCGAACAAGCCGAATTGGCAATAAAATTAATTTTTCTCAAGTGGCACATGAAATGAATAACACAGACTTTTCTATAATTTTTTCGTTCGACGACGTTAATAAGGCGACCGATCTGTTTCTAGACACGTTTTTTTTTATAGAAGAGGGGCAAACGAGCATGCGGCTCACCTGATGTTTCACCGCAACACCAGGGGAATTGCAGGTGCGTTGCCGGCCCTTTAAAAAGGAGTAAGCTCTTTTCTTGAAGGTCCCCAGGTCGTATCGGTCCGGAAAAATCGCTGGTGGTAAACTATTCCACAGAGAGGTTGTACGCGGAAAAAAACTCCTCTTGAAACGTAAAGTAGTGGACCGCTAAGCATCCAGATGGTGTGGATGGTATCGGGACGTTTGCCGCGTAGTGCGTTCACGAAATTTGGCGGCTGGGATTAATCTGAACAATTCCTCAGAGCACTCTCCATGGTATATACGAAAGAAAATGCAAAGAGATGCAACATCTCTTCGCAGTGCCAGTGAATCGAGCCGATCGGAAAGCACTCGGTCGTCGACGATTCGAGCCGCTCTGCGCTGGATGCGGTTAAGTGGAAGGAGCTGGTACTGGAGAGCCCCAGCCCAGAGATGGGAACAGTATTCCATGTGCGGCCGAACCTGCGCCTTGTAAAGTTGCAGGCGGTGTGCCGGCATGAAATACTGTCCCGCTCTGCTGAGCATGCCAAGCTTTTTAGAGGCCAATTTGGCCTTCTCTTCCAAGTGACCACGAAACTGCACGTCACTCGATATGTCGACGCCGAGGATTCCGAAACTGGCTGAGGCAACAAGGACAAGCCTTAAAACTGGGGAGATAAGACAAAGGGGTTTTTTTTAGCGGTTAACGCGCAAACTTGTGTCTTCTGGGGGTTAAAC